GTTCGGATCCCATGAAGAGACCAGTCCGCTCACTGGTTGAGCGTGGTGCAGGCGCGACACAGAGGGTCGCGATCCCGTTACCGGTCACGAAAAAAAGACAAAAAGGGGAAAAAAAAAAAAAATTACTGAGCCTTAGTTATCAAGTCTAAGGGATCTAAAGGTAAAGAAGATGAGCCAAGAAGAGATTTTCAGGGGGAATGTTAAGCAACTGACCTTTTAATTTGCAAAGTAAACAGCACACACTATCCTAAATGTTCTACATAATTTTCAAATGATGAAGAATAAACTGCAGCATTATTTGAAAATGTTACCAAATCCCAAAGTTTCTTACCTCCTTTACATTCTATCCAAAAGCAGGTAGTATTAGCAATACTACCATTAAGACAGGACATGCAGCTGTTGTGACTTTCACAGGTTTCTGCGGGTAGGGAGAACGAAATGTATGATATCAATGAGTTAATGGGTATTTCATATGAGTCTGTTTTACTCTTTTGAACAATTAACATTACATACAGTACTAGAACTATGAATTCAGAGAAATAGTAAAACTTTATAAACTGGTTTACAGTACTAAGAAATCCCAGTCTTTACAGATTATGGAAGCGTAAATAAACTCAAAAGAAAAACTACTGGTGCACTCAGTAGTAGCAGTGGTACCTAACTATACAAACTCTTTTTTCACAGGGCCACTATTTGAAAGATACCCACAGCCATTCAGAGTTTCTTGAGGCATTTTAAAACGTCCTTAAAAGAGAAAAATATTGGAAAAGAGGTTCTGTTGTAAGACCAACGCTACACATAGGGAAATCACTGCCTTCCAACATCAGATAAGACACTGGGATTTTTAATAATAAGAAAGATTTATTACAGGTTGAATCCAAGCTCTGATGATGCCCATTCAGAAAACGAGCTAATTTCCCAGGGATTCACGATTTATAAATGACCCAGTCTTCACAGGGTCGTCCACAATTGTAGACATCTTGAAGGGCCACATTCATGTACACATGCAAGATGTTTGTCAACAGTTTAAGCTAAATGGCCCAGAAACAAGAACTCAAAAGGCTAATTACAATTCAACATCTGTACAAATGAATGGACTCCGTTTTCCTAGAAACTAGATGACTCCAACATTCTTACTGTCGTCCCCCTGACTAGAATATAGTTCTGCAGAGGCACTACGTTTCAATATTTTTCATTAATATCTACTAAAGACTAGGACATGTATGGTATACTGTGGGCGTTCACAGAACAGATATAAATTCTTCATAAGTTTCCGTACAGATGAAAAATGCTGGCTGTTTAAAACCTTTTGTCTTTGATGATGGGCGTAGCAGATGAATGTTACTTACAATGAACTAAACCTGTTACCTTTTAGACAGCGACTTATCCAACTATGATTTCCAGAAAAAAAAATTATCTCCTTTGCATGCACTTCAATCATTCAAAGGCTATTAACTTGGTATTCCCGAAATTGTCATTAAAAAATCCCTACAATTCTGAGAGGAAACAATCAAATAAGTGGGAGACAAAAACTATTCTCTAATGGTCTTAAAAATAGTCCCGTCAGAATTTCCAATATTGTAATACAATGTATCTCCCGTATTTTAAAATTTTGTCTTTACATCTTTCCGAATCTAACAAAAAGTAAAATATTAAGTTTATTACATATTTTATTAAACTTTTATGAGGTATTTAAACTAGGGTAGACATTGTAGAACAATATGATCAGCACGAGAAAAACGTCAAGATAGAATCATTACCCTTCAGCAATCCTTTGGTCAAGAAACCAAGTTACCCCTTACCCGGTATTAAGCAGAATAACCAATCATACCAGACTGCAGGTTTTAAACACCTAGTGTTTCTTCGCCTTATTACATCAAATTTTTCTTCCCTCCCTCTTTTGTGCTGTCAGGGCATATGCCAATTCCTGCTTTAAAATTTGTGTATGCCTCAACCAGCCCTACTCGACAGCAGAGTTTAACAAAAAGTGGATGCCTGATAGAGTTTTAGAAAATCGACAGACCCGGGCTCCTATCCCAATTCCATAACCTACTAAACATAAGGTCCCAGGGGAGTTACTTATCTCCGTCTTTCCATCTACCTCCTAGGTTTCTCCCTCCATCTTCCGGTTTAGCCTTAAGTACTAAAAGATGCGAAGCACAGGAACACGCATGGCTACTTTTCTTACTTAGCACACAACACAGAGTAAAGTTTTCACTAATTACGTGCTCAAACCTCAGATATATCCCACACCTATCTGCAACATCAATGTAATTAAATCTCAGGCAAATCATTTTCTTAGGCCCGAGTCTGAGACACGAACGAGTCAATGTCTCTAAGTTTTTCTTTTCCTCTTTCGCCAACTTCCGAAGAAACCTCCCTCTGGAGAGAGTTCCTGGGTGGGATAAACGAGCCCTGAGGAGAGGGAGTTAGGCTTCACCGCCAACTTCGGAGGCGCGTCGCCTCGCCCATCATCAACCCCGCAGCTGCCACCGCGGAAGGAAGCCACGTCCCCCGTTCCGAGCCTAAGGCGAGGCTGGAGATTACGATTCACTACTAAAAAGCACTTCGACGTTTAACACTTGGGGATCGGAAGCAGCGTTGGGCTCGCCCGCCCCGTTCCCGCCGGGGCGCTCCCCGCCCGCCCCGGCCACCCCCGCAGTGTCCAGCTGCAACCGGCCTCGGGGC